CAGCCTCGCCACTACCACTCGTGTAGTTTTGGCCAAATAGATCAGCGACTGCCACTAAATGAGGCCAACTAGTCAGATGTGAGCCAGCTCTGATCCCTCTCCTAACACAGGAGCAAATACAGCTGACTAATTTCTTCTTGAAATGACGCAGAATGGCCCCAGGCTCGGACGCAGCAGGTTTCCCTGCTGTGCTGCTCAGCCTGAGCTAAACTTTGAGTGAGGAACTAAAAAGCATCTCAGAAACAAAGATGTTTCTCATCTCTGCACAACAGAAGTGGTGAGAGCAGCCCAAGAGAAGGGGTGCATGGATTTCTGACAAGGCGCCAGTCTGACAGCATCCTGATGGACAGCCGCTACCACCAACAGATGGTACTAAGGGACTTCCTGGGAGCCATTCTGCAGAACCAGAGGTAGGTGGAAATCAGTTCATTATCCGCTCGCTGCAGGAGTAAGACAAGGTCCTTATTGCTGTCTGCCCTCCAGATGTGAAGCTACTGGATTAAGTATCACCTTCCAGGTACGCTCAGAGAAAGAATAAAGCTCTTACCTGACCCCATAACCCAGCTCTTCCCTTACGTGGGTAAGCAGGGTGCAGATAAGGAACAGCCTGTCCTAAGCCAGCCCACACCACACAGGGTAGCACATTGCTGTGCTGTCTTCTCAACCCCATAATTCAGTAAAATAGCAGTGGAAAACCAGAATTTCTCTCAATCCCAACTGTGCCATCACTGTCCTATTCTCTTCTTTCACAGGCCTCAGGACATCAACAGCAGTCAGTTAGAAGGCTTGCCCAGCACCCTGGCTAAGCTCATGTAAATATTTATCCCTTTTTCATCTCCCCGTGCTCTGGTGAGTACCATTCCCTGCTTATTTCAATACATAACACACTGCTTCTGCACTGCTTGAGCCGTTTGAAGGCTCTCCTTCATTCAGCAAAGACGACTGCCACTGCCATCCCTGAAAAAGGGTGCTTGCTGCAATTTAAGGGGAAAAAACTCCCAATCAATTCTGTCAAATACCTAAAGTCCTGTTAGTCTGAACACGTCTGACTGTGAGTGTTGTGAAGCTGCATGTGTATTTCTGGGAGCAGGCTTGCAGCAACCAAAAGCTATCTGAGATCGTGTGCCTGAGTGTGTAAGCTAGGCTAAAGGCAGACAAAAGTCTTCCCCCAGGAGAAGAACCTGCCTCTGGATCCCTGGGACATTGCTGGTTTTCCCTGCACTGAACAGGAGAGGAAGTCTTACTGTTTTCTGTACCCCTCAAAGTAGTCACTTGGAACCTGAGTTACACTCTAAACCTTGCCAGCCCTAGGGGACTGAGAGCCAGCACAGCACATCCTTGAGAATACCTTCACTCGTACAAACGTCACTTGTCTTATTTGAAGCAATCTTACTCCTCTGTCCCATAGAAAGTAAGCCTGTCCAACCCTTGCCAGCACAATATAAAGAGGTGTGGAGAGACCTACATGCATACTAAACAAAAAGGGGGCTTTGGAGGGGAGAAAAATCAGAACTTCACATAAATTGTGACTACAGATTCCGCTGGGACAGCACAGCACTTCAGCATCTCTCATCATGCTTGACTTGGTTACCTTTCCACAAATGAGGTCAGTCAGGAAAAGCCTCCAAGCTTCTGTGTGCGCTCACAAAGTTTTCTGACAATTCTCTTTTCCTCCTGCTTCTGTCTAGAATAATTCAGAGCTCATGGATCTAACTGTACCGTAAGCCCTTCACAGCAACGAAGACACTCCTGGATGTGACCAGCTGGAAACTGATGCATACGTTCCTCAGATCTGACCAAAGAAATGCAGTTCTGATGTGCTATTTTGTTTACTTCAGTCTTTACAATTTAACTCCCTCTAAATACTATTCTGTTTACTGAATCAGAAAAAAAAATACCTCCATGGTTTAACCTCAGGCTGCTACATACAAAGACTAAAACAACCGGTGCACTTGTAATCCTGGGGGCATATTGTCTACTAATTAAGGCTTTCAAATCACAAAGCATAGCAAAATTTCTGCCAATTCATCATTCTGTTTGAGGGCCTGATTAATAAACATAAGGCCACCAAAAGGCACCTTTAGGCAACTTGGTAAATTGATTACAGCCTCCTCTGAATAGATGCTGATGGCACAAGCACACACACAGCTCCTATCAGGGTGAGGTACGACATGAATCCACATGTCTGACACCCATATTACATGCTGCTGTCTGGCTCTTTGATACAGAGCCCTGGCTGTAAAAATGAACACCAAAAAGCTGAGCTACAGTCACTGCTCAGCCTTGGGGTGTTCAAACTGCAGGTACAGCTCTGCAAGAGGTGAAGGCAATCCCTGTGCATCAGGTTGGGCTGTCAGTGTTGGAATTCAAGGTGCCAGCCAGTGGCTCTGCACTCCACCATGGTGTGGGTTGCAACTGTACATGTTTTCAAAGAAGGTATTAACCCAGTGATCTTGCACAGCTACTTCCTTCCCTGTCACCCCAGTCCTATTATTTGTGTAATAATTATGTCTTCGGAAATGTAAATAACGTCAGGATGGGGTCTGCTTTCCCATCATTAGCAGGAAATAAAAGTTGTTCTAAATAAACCTGTCCAACAGCAGGTCAAGATGGCTCTTTGTCTGTTGAGATCTTTGTTTCTTGATTCTGGGCCCGGAATGGAAGATGTCACTCAAAGACAGGGTTCAAGTGCACCAAGGATGACCCAGAGCTGTACCAAGGAAGGTACCAGGTCAGCGCCAGTAACTCGAGACCAAGCTGGAAATACAGTGGCATGCAAACATGTTTTAAGGCATCCGAAATCATCCTTCCTTCCACCCAAACAATTCCTGACAGTCTGCAGCAGATACCATCTCATTTTTCCACAGGTGACCATGTTTTAGGACAGCAGGAACTAGCACACAAGGAAATGAGCTCATACTTGCGCCAAATCCCTAGAGATTACATTCTCTCCATTCAGATTTTACAATTCTAGCACTATGAAAATATTCCTGCCTGCCCATCAGGATGGAGAGCAATGAGGGGACGCTGAGGGAGATCAGTGAAGCTGTGACAGCAGCAGTGCACTAATGGGCGATGTTATCCTTGCCCAGGCAGGCAGCTGTCAGTGGGACATGACCCACCCTTCTGCTTCACAGCACGGCTGGAAGAGAACACGCAAAACAAACAAACCACCCCAGTCAAAATACCTGGGTCAAAATGCGTTTGTAAACCTGCTTCATAACAAATAACACACTTGAAGCCATTAGGGCTTACTTGCTCCAAGGAAAGGAATAATAAAAAGCAGCAGCTTCCTAAAATAGTAAGTAAACATGGTGGCAAAAAGATACAAAATTCTATTACCATAAAAGCTATATGCAAGCACTAGATTGGATACTCCAAATAAAATCAAAAGACTTATCAAAACCACTTTTTTTATCAAATCCAAGTCTGTGTAATTAAACAGCTGAGTGAGTGCAGCTACTTGGAATAAGGGGACTCCTTTGAAAGTTCAATTTGCATCACAATGAGGAAACAACTGCTAAAACTCAGAGATTAAATATAAAAACAAATAAAACCAGACAATGTCTGAGGAACAAAAGGCCAAATAATAAAAACCACCTTTCCTAATGCATAGCCAAGGAGGTAAAAAATCAACGGCAACACATCACAGCTTAGAGAACATCCATCACAGTAGCACTCCATAATTTTCCTTTTGCATCTGTGCTCTCTTTGGACAGCGTGCCAGAGCTCCACAGGGAAAGGACCGGAGGAGCTGTCCTAGCATGAAGCATCAGTGGAAAAATAAGTTATAAACCAAAGCTGATGAGTGAGCAGTAACAAAATATGAGGCTCAAAAAGAACTCACCAGGGGGAAAAAGGAATTCCAGGGTAAAACACTACAAATAGTAGCTTGACTATTTCCTGCTTAAAACTCCTTTAGTCTCGGAGGACTTGAATGCAGTATGAGATCAGGTTTTTGAGGGAGTGCAGAGAAGGTTAAAGGAGTTCATTAAACCCCTATGGCATCCAGTGTAATGTTCACAATGAATGAATGGGCAGGAACTGTTATAAAGAACAGAACCAGTGAGCTAAGTGTGAACTGCACCGGGGAAGAGACAAGATGGCTTTTATAAAGTGCAGTTACGTCTCACACATGTGAAGTTCTTTGGAGGATTCAGCTCCATGCTTTTTATCTGCATGCTTGCTGGCTGATAAAATTTTCTTGAATCTCCAAAAGACATTTGATCAAGTTTCTATGACAAAAGGCTTTTAAAGAAACTCGGTTGACACAGGACAAACAGCAGCCAACACAGATGCAGGGGAGGGAGCAACTGTTAAGTTCCCATGTGGAAGGTGCTCATCAGGAGGAGATTTTGGCCTCTAGTTATTACTATCAGTGTGTCTTTAAATAAAGCCCAAGTCTGCTGCCTCAACTCTAACTAGTGGTCTTGAAGGTAGTAATTAATTGAGAACTTAGAGTTCAGATAACTCAAACATGGCCACATGGCAACCAGCAGATTCCTGGCATTCAGTTTCATGGAACAACAGAGGCAATAACCTCATTCAAACTCATTTTTAGAGAAAAAAAGTCACTTCCAGAGGCTGGAAAGAAAGTGAACCAACCCAAGGGACCCACCAAACCTGCCACAGTCAGACACAGCCAGACACACCAGCACCACAGCTGGCTCTTCACAAGGGCCAGGACACAAGGACCCCTCCTGCCTGAGCCCCGAGGGCCCAGAGCAACTCAGCACGGCCCAGCACCATCCTGGAGTCAGAGAGGACAGCCATTAGCAGAGAAATGCAGATACAGTGTCACACGAGGGACAGGCAGGAATGGTTGCACCCCCAATAAACATATCCCTCAGGGAAAGGCCATGAAAGAACAGGAAGCTTCAAACACCAGTGACTCATACACAAAATTACGCACCAGAAAAAGCTCTTTTCATTCTCATGTGAGCCCAGCTTCCAATCAGAGACTCTGAGACAGCCAAAAAACAAAATTCAGGACCAGTATTTCCTCTTTATTCACAAATCATTTAGGATGAGGAGAGGGCACCTGGGGAAAGGCAGAACTGTATTGTCTTTTTCCTCTCTTTTCTAAAGGAAATTCAAATGTCCTGGGAGAAAAACGGGGGGAGGATCCAGGGAAAAAAAAGATTTTCCAGATTCATATGAAAAACATTCAAGTAGCATGAACATAACAATGAAAATCATATTTTTAAAAAAGTATAACTGGCACCCTTTTGACTTAATATAAAAAAAATCTGCTTCTGACTTTCTTCTGGTCTTTCAGTTATTCACTCCTGTTCTGAAGACATTTGCTTTGTTTTTCTCCATTTCTTCCATTCTTCTGTTACTAGTGAGTCCTGCAAAGAAAAATCAAAAAAATTAACTCTTCCAGGCAACAAAGTGCTTCCTTGTACAGTAAAAGTGTCCCTAGACCTCTCATTCTCTCTCAAAATAAGCTTGTTGGACAAGCTTCTCAAAGGAAACTTCTTCAGTGACCAAACCAGTACTGCAATGGAACGGAGGACTTCAAGGAGGATGGAAATGGTGGACAAAATGAAGCTTAATTTCTGGTGCAAAAGTGATGAATGAGCCTTGTAAAATACACCACTGAACAAAAACGCAGGGCTGAATGCAAAGCCTGCAGGTACCTTAACCACTCTTCTCCTTTAAACAGAGCCAATCTATCCACTTGCAATCAGCTGGTCTATGTAAACACAAAGAAAAGGTCTTCATGTCCCCGAGCAGAGGAAGTAATCTAATGTGGGCACAGCAGACCCATCTTTTTGGGGTCCTTTTCCCTTCCAAGATATCAGACAGGCATAGCTATGGATGCTGAGCACTTGACATATCTGGGGCATCACAAAACCCAGCAATATGGAAAAATGCTCGTAGCTGCACATGGCGGCAAAGCTTAACTTACGGTTTGTAGGTAAGTTATTTGCAAGATATTCTAGGATTACTTACAACATACAGAGAATTAAGGAGTTAAAATACCAGGCTGAGAAACAGAAAACATGCAATCTGTGGAGATCACACTTGTGAGACATCGGGTAACAGGCCACCAAAAAGCTGAAAACCACTGGCCCAAAGTTACGGCAAACAGCAGCACCACCAAACTCAGCCAAGGTGCAGACAGCATCCATCTACCAGAACAAGCGACAGCCAGCTCCAGTTCCTCTCCAGAGCTTGTTCTGTGCTCAGATGCTTGAAAACACTCCAGGGAGAGCAGAGATAGTAACAGGGAGCTTTCCTATGGGACACGATGCCAACTTCTTCATAGGTAATTTTCATGAAACAATCCTCCATGCTATCTGATCTGCAGACAGGAGCTCATAGCACAGTGCATGTCGTTTCTGCAACACAGCCACATGCACTGCTTTCGTTTTGCACCACAAAAACTGAGCTCTGTTCAACACACTGTGTACGTGCGTGTGCCTGGAACGCTGAGTGTGAACATGAGAGAAAGCAGAGGCTCATGAGATGTACCAGTGCAGGATGCTGTGATCCCAGTCTCATCACAGGACTTGTCCTAGATGCTTTCTCATTTCTCCAAAATAAATCAATGCACCGTATGAGAAATAAAGCCACACACACACACATTTGGAATTGGGCAGCATGCAGAGTGGCAGGCAGTCCTGCCTCCTACACCACTGTGGTTATAGCAAACTGGGACCCTACCTGCTCAGAATGAGTGGAAACAAATTAAATGCACTGGTAAATGCTAATGGAGACCTATCAGATGATTGCGTTGATGGAGGGGGCTGGCTGCTGCTGCTGCCACTGACTGAGCCATCGTGACCAGCTCAGTCTAACAGGACAGTGAACCCTGGATCAGGTCGTGTTCTCGGCTGAATGGGCTGGTGCTGACCTGGCTTTGCTGCAGCAGAGCTCTCGCTACCCCAAGCAAGGACATAATTCAGCAGTCTGAGTGCCTGGCAGCTGAACAACCACAATACCACAGATGGCGATAGGGAATACCAACAGCAGGATAGGAACAGCCCAGACATTGGCCATTTTCATCCTATTCTCCTCTAGCTGATATTAGTAATAATTTATCTACAGGAACAATACTGCTTTAAGCAGTATTAGGTTTATTTCATCACCTGATAGCTGCTTGGTGCCAAAGACAGCATATTCACATGTGCACATATTACCATACAGACTTCAGATGATTAAAGAAATTGCACAAAGGCAATTTAGTCTCAGAGGAGATGTAACTCTAATATGCAAACCCAGCTGTAGTCAAGGACACCCAAGGACTGATTTAAAGCCCAATAAGCGATGCTGGAAGGAAGCATCTTCAGCTTAGCTATCTTTTTGTACAAGGAGTGAGTGATGAAGTGAAATGAAACAGGCAGCATGCCCAGGAAAGGCAAATTCCAAAAAGGCCCTTACTTCTAGATGAGCTGGTCACTAGCAAAACCCCTTTACCGCAGCGTCCTATACTTTGCCAACCTACTGCTCTGCTCTGCAGCGATCCTGCCAAAAGGAGAAAGGAAGAAAGGTTCAGAGAAGACAGGAAGGAGGAAAGCAGCTCTGCTCCAGGAACCAGAGCTGGTGACAGAAATGCAAAAAGCAAAACCAGGCCTTCTGGTAACTTCTGTAAAAAGATGGGTTTATACAGTCCCCTTCCCATGCCCGCCAGCAGTCTCCATAGTGCAACGGCAGCTTTGCCTCAAAGTGCGATCCAGTTAATTATCACCGCACTTCGACATCTGAGACAGGCTAGCAGCACATTAACAAAAGATACCTTTTTGAACTTTAAAGTCATATACAAAGGGTTTAACTTTAGCCTAAGGTAGAAGTTTCACTTTCAAATTTGCCATTGTAGTTCCAGCTTCATGTCATTTACAGTGAAAAAGGATAAAGACACCCCCCTGCAGTGTTTTGAATTAGGAACCAACCACCTGCATTTCGGAGCTAACAGAAGGCCTGGTTGAGCAAAGACACTTAGAAATAAGCTTCACTGTATTTTTTTCTCCAAATATGTATCCTAGGCAATCTGTAATTAATAATTATTTTATCATTGTTCTTTAAATTAAAAAGGAAACATTATTAAATGACATAACATAGCTCCATTAGCATAACAGTTCCTACTGGGATTTTGTTGCCCATAAGAGAAAGCAACACAGTAGAGAGGGCTGGTCATCCACGGGAGCAAGGCTGAGAAAGTTAGGAGGGCGATACAGAAAGGTTTGATTACAATAATCGTCTCTGATACATCCATGCACATTGAAATGTTTTAAAGACAACAAATCAGTGCAAGACCCCCGAAAAATAGACGTTTGTGGGTTTTTTACAGATCTTGTCCTGGTTTTAATACTGTATAGTCAAGAAAGGGAGAACCTGGGGACATCTACACAAATAGGTATGCAAGAATAAACAACTCCTAGTGGGTCAAAAGGAGAAAGTAAGAAAAGCACAGGTTTGATGGCAAAGCAGGTGAATAAGATAGTCTTCAAAGCCAAACTCTACATTAGTACAAAAGGACTAAAATTTAAAGCTTCACACGGAAACCCTGTGTGGCAGAAGTGGAGGGAACGGTTTGACCTCTAATTAATGCACTGCATTGGAAGCTTGGGTCAGCAAACTCCCTGCAGGCTGCCTAAGCCATGGCACGTTCATCAGACTGTGGCAGAAGACACAAGTGTGGAGAATCAGTGCAATGCCCGTACAGAAATAAATGCTGTATCACTAATGTTTACCAGAATTTTCTGGTTTTGATTGCATGTGTTGCCCTTTGTCTGTTGCTACACACCTCTGATGAGCACTCGTTTCCCTTTTCTCTATAATCGCCCTTTAGAGGAAAACAGCAGTATGATACCCATGCCTTACCTTCCTCCTCTTAAAACTTATAAGCACAGCTACAGAAGAGCTGGGCCTCTTCTGCATTTATAGTGCCTTTAAATATCTAACAATACTTTAAGAGTTTGATGTATCATGTAGTAAAACAAATTTGTCAGTGAATGTGTCTTGCCAAGTTTGTGTTTCCCCATGTTAAACCACACATACTTCCACCCTTTGCTTTTTCTGTGTGCCTGACCACTTCAACAAGGGGCCACGTGGACTGTTCTCTCTGAAGGAGCAGTGAGCTGTGGCTCAGTGACAGCACCTGAATGCCCTGATAAGTTCAAGCCCTTATTCTGAAAACAGGCATGAAAGCGGAAGTGAGCAACCCATCCCCACACACAAGATCCAAGAACCAAAAGCAGCATTCATTTTCTGTATCAGTTACAGACACACAATAACATCCATGTGATCTCCTCCCCACTAATTTTCAAAGCAGTTCCTACCACCACATCTGTCCCTGGCTTACCGTTTTACTGCTTTTTGAGCCAGCATCCTGTTGCCTGCCAGGAATGTGACGCCACCCAAAATGGCCAAGTACTTGAGAGTCTGGAACATGTTGAGCTGAGTCCAGTAGACATACATGAGTCCCAACATTGCTGTGAAAAAAACAGACAGAGCCCATGGCTGAAACAGCATTTCAAAGACCAACCATTCATTATCCCCAGAACAAGTGTTAGGTTGTACTGCCAGGCCTAAGCATTTGGTTTCTATCTCATCTCTAAAGCTCTGAAATAGCAGATCTAAAGACTATACTTTATTGCCGGGGAAGAAGACGTCTGGGACTCCATACTGGAGAAAAATGTGACCCTGACAGCTTGCAACCAACCCTCTTGTGGCAGAATTACGGACATATTATAGACATTAAGTGCTATTAAAAGGAGGAGGATACTTGGGATTTCAATAGAGGATATTAAGTTTTGCACATTTGCAGGAGCTTACAGCTTTATAAATCTTTCAAGGAAACTGGCTTGGATTAAGCAACACACTGTCATCTGGGAAACAGTAGATCCAATGTTCTCCCAACCTGCTATGTTATTTGACTTCTACCAAAACAGTAAATAACTGTGCAACCAAGACCACAATAAAATTGATGGAAAAAAAAAATGGTCCAGCCTAAAAACAAGAAAAGCTTTCACAGGAAGAGCTTTAAAGAAAAGATGTAGACAGCAGTCCCGCTGGTTTCAATTCCCCACAGAAACTCCCTGCTTACAAAGGATAAACATGCAATAAAGAAAGAGTGACCTCTGGAAATAAGAGGTTCTATTAAAGTAAGCCCGGATAATGACCACTGTTATAAGCTGATGGCCAAAACAGGTTTATCACCATATTAACAATCATGAAGAGCAGGAAGACAGATGAAAACAAGAGAACCAATGTTATGCTATTATGTCATTATGGTTAATAGACCACAAGCCCATTAACCACCAGGGCTCTCATCTGTGACTCCCAGGTAAGAAGGTCAAACAAAGCGGAAAGCCTCTGACACTTACCAGCATGTCCCGTGTGAAAAACAATGGTGCTGGGAGCAAAGCTGAAGTTGGAGATGTTGGCACCTATCTTTATCCACTGAAAGGAAATAAACAAAACATGAGTTACAGCCCTGTAAACACAAGCTTTTATTTTAAACTTCAGTTTTTCAAGCCTGATTGCTTTAAATTCTTCAACAAATACAGTGTATCCTCTACAGAAGCACTTGCTTACTACTACAAGAGGACAGAGTAGTAATTTTGCTAGAGACAGACCTGTTGAGCCCCTTCAGTGGAAATTTCTCCTGCTGCCTCTGCCCAAAGGCAGTTCCTCAATCATCTTTCTTAAACTGATGAAAGGATATTGCTCCAAATCTACATTTTCCAGAAAAAAATAAACATTGCTGTTCCTATCCAGCTGAATTAATTTCAATCAAAAAGACAAAAAAGGTAAGGTTCTAATCTTGGACTCAGCAAAAGAACGGCTATAGATACAAGATGCATGCTCATAAAAACGATTTCAGTTTTTAGAGAAAGGCGTGAAGGATGGAAAACGTGAGCAGTAACAATGAGATTTTTCAAAGTGCCATCAACATGTATGTGATGAACTCCAGTGACCAGTAGACACAACTAACTGAATGCCAGCTTTTGGTGAGACCAGCTAATGGGAAAGTACTGCCAAGCAAATAAGGGATCAGTTTCATCCTGCAAATAAGGAGTAATGTAACTTGCCTAATGAGTTTATTACATTAAGTTCAAAACTCTGACCTGATGACAGTGAGTAGATGTTTCAACTACAGCCACAAATACCAATTATGTCCATAAATGGCAATCAGATAAGATTAGGTAACACAGATGTTGCGATGGATGTATGAACTGTGATGCACAATCACTGCTTTCTTTTCCTGTGGAAGTCCAATGTTAGTTAAAACTTAATCTGCCCACTGTTAATCAACAGCATCCCTAGCAGAAGCACACTGGAGAAACGCATCCGACCTACTTGGCAGCAGTGTTTTTCTGGTTTTGACTATGAACTCAAAAAAAGAACAGTTTAGGAAAGAGATGATACCAGATCAACACTCTGCACTGACATTTGCTAGCGACAACCGCAGCACTGCTGTGCTAGTCATGACTAAACAAGTTTTAACAAGAAGTTTAGCTGGCCAATCTTTTAAGTAACTTTGGACTGGATGAGAAAAAAATTTCTTCTTCTGTGGCCCAGTCCACTCACCAGAATGAGCAGCAAGAGGAGGGGGGAGAGAATCAATGCTGTGAAAGTGTTAGATACCACAGTGGGAGGCCTCTTCTCGGGTTCTCTGAAGAGGTGCTGCAAACAAACAAAACCAACATGTAAGTAAGAACATTCCAACAGAGCAGCTTCTTGGCTCCCCAGAGGACAGCTGCAGGCCTGGTGCTGCTCCCAGACGTTCCTTTGGATGATAAACATTCCTCTTAAGGCAAAAACTCACTCTTTAAAGAAGTGTCTGCTCCAGTCTCTGCACATTCAATCTCTTGCACAGTCAATTTTTCCTTGCACTCACAGAAACACTTGTGAGCTTGTCATCAGCACAGGTGGCTGGGATGAAGCAAGAGAAATCTTCAGAAGCAGAGAGTTTCTCTGGTGCTTACCTAGTAAAGTTTATATATCTGAATCTTCTCTGTGACACCAGATGCTCTCACAGGTAGGACACACAGCTTATTTACTCGTACTCCAGAGGACTGCATTGTTCCATTAAGCAGTAACTCTGGTCCTCCTTTAATTACTTACACAGTATTATTTTTTTTTTAAATGAGATGACTTTTCGAAAATAAATTACAATGAGAACAAATAACACTCGTAGGACTAGTCCCCCATCTCCACACAATTTTTGTTTTTGACTGTACCTGAATTTCAGGTTTGGGAACAAAGAGGTTCTTGGACTGGACTGTGGATGGAGCATCCTCTTCTGGGAATTTGATCACAACATCAGCCTGAAATGAAATCATCCAACTTCCTGAAGTTTCATCGTAATGTATTTAAAGTTTTATAAAACCTATTCTATTGCTGTGCCCTATTTCCTTATTTGTCAATTTATGATTGGCATGATTTTTAAAGAAAACTAAGAAAAAAACCACTAATTTTTTAAAAAAACCCTAAACATAAAAAACACTAATAGAGGCAGTAATGCCACTCACCCATCTCTAAGACTCGGACTTATTTGCAGCACAGCAAGCACAGAAAGACTAAACCTTGAAGTGCCTGCTGTGAAATTGCAATCAGACCCGTAAACGTTCTGAAGTTTCTGTTCCACCACATGATGAAATGAATGTTCATTTCAGTCTTGCTTTGATGTTTACTTAAAAACTTAAAATGAACAGCAAACCTCAGAGCCCAGAAATGACCAAAAGGATCTTGCTTCACTATAAAGAACAAAGCATTTGAGGTTTTTGATTCCAAGCCTGTACCATGGCCTTCCTGATAGACTGCCAGTAATCTCGAAACCACATCACCGCACTTCTAGCTACATACCACATTCCACAGGATTGGATTTTCCAGAGTGGCATCTCCGATTATCAAGTAAAGAGTGTAGGTACCAGAGGCTGAGTCAAATTCAGTCTTTCTTTCAGAGGTATCCAGTTCAAACTTGTATACATTCTTGCTATCTGGTTCTGCAACAAACACTACCTCCTGGCCAGTCTTTTGGTTGTGAAGTCGGACAAAAGTCTGAAAGGAAAGACTGTAATGTTTCTGGAATATCACATAGTACATTTACAAATGCCAGCGAAATGAGAGATTTACCCCCAAATCAAAAGGAGTGACATTAACAAGAGCTGGGAGTAAAAAAAAATCGGGAGCCCAGGTCTAGAACCCTGCAAAATCAGCAAAATGCAATGTGTCTCTGAGTAACTACATTAACACAGGACCAAGACTGTCCAGTAGCCCACTTAGGGTACAGGGCAATATACTGAATGTTACTGAATAGGGCATATGCAAAAAGATACAACAGGGATGTATGCATACGTGGTTTTTGTTGTTTATTTTCCCCCCTCCCACCCCTTTTTTTTCCTGTATAAAATAGAAAAAAAAACCTTTTCAGCAAACAATCTATATAAAAAAATCAGAAGTCTGATTTTACAGTGCAGGCTACCTGGTCTCATTTTATTTAGCTAGATACAGAGCCAGAAGAGGCTTCACTTAACATACAGCCAAAACAAATGAACTGAATCCACTTCCCATCTACCAAGATCAGTGATCTTTCCCAGTCCATGTCAGAAACATAAAGCCTCTTTAAACCTATCAAATCTTTTCAAGAGCTACTGTCACCTCAGATGCTTCAAGATGGAACATCTCTGTGACACAGCAATGCCAAAAATTTGACCTAACCTGGTGAGGGATGAGTTCAGCTCCACTGTTCACGTCTATCAGCTGGAAGGATAAAGCAAAATTCTGATGGCTGTCAGCAGTGAACGAGCCCTTGGCTTTGGCTGGATAGGCCACCCTAGGAGGAAAAAACGAAGCAGAACTGAGGTGATCTTCCAAGAAAGACCTGGCATTTGAAGGAAACAAGGCATGCAAGCCTGTCTAGCAGTACTGCAGTCTACTCAGCATAGATGAGCTATTTTATCAAAAAGTCAGGTGGACTAACATGTCTTTCTCTTCCATCATAAATTTAATGAAAAGACAAGAACAAAATCATTCTATGATTCTATAAAAA